TAGCTGGGATAGGCTCCAGCCCCCCTATGACCTTGACAAGGACAAGCAACAAAGAATAGATATATTTATATGATATGACCTGCTTTGGCGACAGTGGGAAGGAAAAACTCCCTTTTAACAGGAAGAAACCTCCGGCAGAACCAGGCTCAGGGGCGGCCATCTGGCATGACCGGTTGGGGGTGAGGGGAGGAAGGCAGGTCAAAAACACGCTGTGGAAAAGAGCCAGAGATTAAAAATGAATATTGATTAAATGCAGAGCGGTGTATAAACACATAGTGAGTGAAAAAGAAACAGTGTTATGGGCAGCCCCCGCAACCTAGACCTATTGCAGCGTAACTAAGCGAGGTCACCTGATGCAGCAATAACAATGTGCTTTATCAAAAAGGAACGTTTTAAGCCTAATCTTAAAAGTAGAAAGGGTTTCTGTCTCCTGAATCCAAACTGGGAGCTGGTTAACAGAAGAGGGGCCTGAAAGCTGAAGGCTCTGCATTTCAAACTGTGAACCTTGGGCAGCTCAAGAGCAAAGCACACATACAGGGAGCTGGGTTGGGTGTGTGGAATAAAGAAAACAGCAACAGGGTGAATGACAACAGAAATCTTCTATTTTCAGCTTTCAACTAAACAAATAAACTTTCTAACAGTAGGATAGACTTCATTCCTGCTCTCATTTTCTTTAAGGTTTTGGTTTATAGGCTACTGTCAAAACGGGAGAAATCACTGCTGAAGGGACTGAAAGCCTCACAACACACCTTTTTTTACAGTAGTCCTTTTACATGGAGTGATAGGTTTACAGAGGTGTTACTTAGCACAATAATTATGACGTCCTAATTGACCTTTACTCATGTCAATTACTTCATCCAAACAGTTGCTCTAAAAAAGGTCTTTTAATTCTTATTTCCACTCAGTTTTTATGAGGTAAACAATGTGTTTTATCCTCACTTTCAACAAATGGCCATCCAACAGATCACTACTGCTCTCCTTTAAAACCATTTGAACGTTTTGTAATCTATTGTCAATAAAGATGTATAAGCTGAAGTTTGTTAGAGTTGCCCGAAAGCTTACATACTGAATAACTATGCCTTATGGACACATCACAATGCAAATGTATTGTAATGCATATAGCTTTTATGTGTCATTTAGAATTATATACAGACAGTGGTGGAAATAATTATTTCACCCCTGGTGAATTTCTAAGTTTTCTCGCTTACAAGAAATGTCTTTATTTTTATGCTAGTTTCATTTTAATGGCGAGAGTGACAGACTGTCAACCAAAAATCCAGAACCCCCCCACACATTATATAAAAATTAGAAATGGATCTGCATGCCATCGAGTGAGATAAGTACTTGGTGGAGAAGTCCTTGCTTCAAACACTAAAACAGGGGTCTCCAACTCCAGGACTCGAGGGCCGGTGTCCTGCAGGTTTTAGATCTTACTCTGGGTCAACACACCTGAATCAAAGGATTAGTTCATCACCAGGCCTCTGGAGAACTTCAAGACAGGTTGAGGAGGTAATTTAGCCATTGAAATCAGCTGTGTTGGATCAAGGACACATCTAAAACCTGCAGGACACCGGTCCTCGAGTCCTGGTGTTCGACACAGCTGTTTAAATCTCTGTTCTTAACTGTAAGGATTGAATTCTTTGGGTCACAGCCAGGATTACTCTTCCTCCAAACATGGCAGGTCGAGTTAATGTCAAAGAGGTCGATTCTGGTGTCATCTGACCACATCACTTTCTCCCAAGCTTTCTCTGAATCTTTTAGATGATCGATGGCAAACTTAAGACAGGCTGATTCACAACTTTTCTCATGATCCTCCTGAACCCATGAGGCAAGGTTTTGCATGGAGCTCTACACCAACGACAACTGTTGGTTATTTTATATTTCTTCCATTTTCAAATAGTCATCGCATTCTCACCAAGCTTCTCCCATTCCAGCCTCGTACAGGTCTACAATCCCCTGACATTCTTAACAGCTCTTTGCTGGTGGAGAGGTCAGAATGAGAGAAGCTGATTCTGTGGACAGCTACGCTTTACACATAATTCAATTCAATTTCTTTATTGTCCCACAAGGGGAAATTAGTTTAGCAGCAGGATAAAAATAAACAGAACAATAAAATAATAATGACAATAATAATGATAGAAAGTTCAAGGACAATTATTTGCCATTAAGGAGACAAGATGCAGTGGGGATAAAATAGACCTGGAGTCTTTTAGTCCTCCTCAGAGGGACTCTAAAACGGCAGCCGGAAGGCAACAACTCAAACTCACTGTGAAGTGGATGGTTCACACAGTTAATAGAATGAGCCTTTCTAAGCACATTTCTATTGTAAATGGCCAAAAGTCCATCTTGCCAGCGCCCTGAAATTTTACTAGCAGTTTTTACCAGAAGTCCCAACCGATTCTTATTCTTCACCGTCAGGTTACCAAACCACGCAGCAATACAAAAAGACATCACAGATTCGATAAAACTTCTATAAAACAAAGACAACATCTCAGATGAGACATTAAAAGATCTCATTTTCCTTAAAAAGAACAGTCTTTGTTGAACTTTTTTAGTAGTGGCATCAGCATGAGATTCAAAACACAGTTTATGGTCAAGTACCACACCTAGATATTTATAACTCTCAACGATCCCAATATCGGCAGTTTTAATGATAGTAGGTGATGAGCTATAAGAGGACTTCCTAAAATCAATAATCATGTCTTTAGTTTTTGACACATTAAGTGAAAGGAAGGACTCATCACACCAATTCACAAAATCATCTACAACCTGTCCATGGCCTGACTCGTCCCCACTAGAAGACTGACGATCACTGTGTCGTCAGCAAACTTCAGGAAATTGTGAAATTGCTGCGACACTCATTTGTGTACAGAATGAACAGAAGGGGAGAGAGGCAACAACCCTGGGGTGATCCAGTAGAGGAGGAGAGCACATCAGAAAATACATGATTCACCCTCACACATTGTGACCTATTGATCTGAGATTGGGCTGCGATTGGGAATATCTCTAATTGAGTGACTGATTTATTCTGTGTGCAACCAGAATTGTGTCTTTGGGAGCCACAATTCTGGCTGTGTTGTAGGGGAACAAATACATACAAATTCATTTAGTAAGTTTTATGTAATTATATTAGCTTTTTCTTTGATATTCTGGCTTTGCCATAAAAATAGAGACTGTCACTTTTGTTGTCAATGAGCAAACATATTGCATGGGAGTGTGAATGTTAGATTGAAAGCACTTTGTTAGAAAAAGCAGAGAGAAAAATGTTTGAGCGCTCAAGTAAAGTAGAAACGTGCTATATTGGAACCATTTTTTTTTTACCATTCGAGTACATGTTCATAAAACCAGCGTGAGAGGATTTAAATCTTGTGACATGGTGTGTTATCCTGCTGGAAGCCGCCATCAGAAGATGGTACACTGTGGTCATAAAAGGATGGACATGGTCGGTAACAAAACATCAGTATTTTCAAGTTGGTTCAACCAAATTCTGATCGAGACTCATCAGACCAGGGACCAGTTTTCTGATTTTCTCTTGCCCAGTTTTGGTGACCCGCTTGGGAATTGTAGCCTCAGTCTCCAGTTCTTAGGTGACAGGAACAGCACCAAGTGTGGTCTTCTGCTTGTGCAGCTCATCTGCTTCATGTTTGGTATTTAGAGATGCTCTTCTGCATACCTATCAGCTCAAAGCAGTTTGACCGTTCTCCTCTCACATCAACAAGGCAGTTTGCTCAGTGACCTGCCAATCAATCACTTGATATTCTATTTTTCTGACCATATTCTGTAAACCCAAGAGAAAATCCAAGCACATCAACAGTTTCTGATATACTGCTGCTAACAATGCCCCTTTCAAAGCTGCTTAAATAACCTTCTTCCCTATGTTGACGCTCACTTTGAACTTCAGCAGGTCATAAATGCTTTGAGTTGCTGTCCAATGTTTCTTTTCCTGTTTGGTATAATTATTATAGTCTAACTAAAGCATCATTAGGACTTTGCATCAGGTTTTCCTACTTACAGAGCAGAATCTGGAAGTTCTTGTTTCATCTTTGACTATTTGATAATATGAATTTCAGCTACTGGCAAGTAAAAAACCCCCCAAAAAACAAAAACCTATTAACTTTTTATGTTGGCATCAAGGTTTATTGTCCTTTGATAATGTACAATATACAAAAATATAGGGTACCAAAAATTCACAGTGTCTAAAAGGCAGTGATTACTATACATTTGTCTACATGACAGGTCTAACAGTACACCTGGTAAGTTGCATAGAAGGACACAGAGCCTCACATCGCAGGGGACAGAGCTCGAGATCGACCAGTCGGTTGAACGCCCGTCTGACCACAAGCTTAGTTTACATCAAAATGACATCTTTTTAAATTTCATATCGCCGCTATAAATGATCATTGGTGGGTTATTTTCACTCCGGGTTCATGTGACTCTGGAGATTTTGTGTTTGAGCAGCTGGGAAAGGTCACAGGTCACGTTGTGGAGCTCTGTCCCCAAACAAACCTCATGGTTGGTGTGTACTTAGCTGCTGTACTTATTTTTCTCTTTAAACAACTATAAGGCTTTTTTTTTTAAACAAACAGTGTTAGCTATACAATATACAGATACATATACACAACTGTCTTCGAGGACATTAAATGGGTAGAAGGCTGTCGCTCCTATATACAGATAGAGCTCTCATCTCGTGCATGTACATTAGCTGAACTGAAAAGCATTGCTGGGTTAGCATTCATCGATCAGGCAATAATAATAAAATATAGCTGTGAGAATGCCCTTTATAAACCAAGCTTTGACTATAAATAACTTCCATTCCACCTCCGCACGGACCAGAGGTGTGATGCTTTAACTTACAATGATTAACATCTCAGACATGAAACAGGAAAAGGAAACAGTAGAATGCCTGCAACACAATGTGGAGAAGTGCACACACACACGCACACATGTACACTCATTCACACGCTTTACAGACGTCATAGTCATATGTATGAAAGCATTTACATTGTACAAAATACAGTAGGCTCCCTTTGCTCATTCAAGCACTTACATTCAGACACGCATGCATCCCTTTTGATGTTCACTGGTAAACTTAGGCAAGCGTAATTCAGCAATTTTCTTTTCTCTTCAAGAGGGCCCAGATGGATATTTTTTGACATTCTTTGCAAAAACAACATAATTGAAATCCTTTTATTTATTTTGTGTGTTAACATTTCATGTATCGAAGACGCAATGGTCACAAAGCAGAACAATCAAAAACAAAAGGAGTGTGTTCATTCGGTGAAATGGAAATTAGAGAAACAAGAAATAATTAGTTATCTTATTTAACAAAATATTTCTTCCTATGCTACAGCTCGTCTGAGCATAAAACAATTATCATCTTAGAAAAACAAACATTTAAAAAAAAAAAAAAATGAACAAGTGACTACTAGCTTATTCTACCATCATAGAAAACCCAATCCACTTGTTCAGCACACTGGCCATATTTGATATGACCACCGGGCTATTTAGCACTCAGCAGAATCGATGCATCCATTGGAGAATCAATTGGAGAATCAATCAATTCCTTTCCAGAAGTCTGTATTGTTCTTGAAAACAAAAAATAGAGGAAAAAAAAGTAGAAATAAAACAAATCTCGCCCCTGCCTTCTATTGCATACAGGCACCCACGGAATTCCCAAAGCTTTTACAGTTCAGAACGCTTCCAACGCTCCGTGCTTCGACTGTAGGAGTCGATATCCCTGCCCACTAAAGACAAGGGACTCGAATCATGAGCGGTATATTTCTCCTTCGACTGAGGATGATGTGAAGCGTAGTCAAACCCTAACCAACCCCAAACTTCTTATCTTTTCTGTCGTGTGAAATAGCAACAATGAGGGGCGTGGATCCCTCCCCCAAACAACCGAGCTGATATTGATCTCTAATTTACTCCAGCATTGACTTCATTGAGCTTTCTCTTTTTTACTGTTGTTCTCTTGCTTTGTGCTGTGTGGCAAGGACGTAGCTATACGTGCTTTTTGTTCTCTGTAACTGCTTTTGCTGTCGAGGGACTCGAAGTTCATTACAAGCTGAAAATGTGGTTTGTGATGGAGAGGCATAAAACGGTGACCCAGATCCACAGAAATGTTTCTTCTTTTTAAATTTATTGTGTTCGTGTTAGCCTCTGGAAGTGCGGATGCTTGACCGACCCGGCATCTGCACTGAAGTGCGCGGTAATAACAGTCTGTCTAAAGCCGTTACTCGTCCTCGTAGAGTTTTCCACTAGTTCTCTGCATGAAGCTGAGAGTTGACACTGCTTTATCCAGTCGGGCCTTTACAACAACACAGCCCCAGCTGCTTGCACAAGTTCCTGACTATAATAGGACAGCGGCATTCCTCTCCAATCCAGATCTCCTGATGGAAAGTTCCAAAAAGACCCTTAAAAACAAACGAGAAGAGGCTAGAAAGCAAAGACAGGGGGCGATGGTGATCAGAGGAACTTGGCCTTAGTTCATGTCGGTTCAGTTATGTCACCATGGCATTGGGGGGTGGCGTCCGTTTGGGGCAGCGGGGTGGAGAGCCGGATTTGGGGCGGGTCTCAGCTATTGTTAGTGTGGTTGTAGGTCCTGCACGGTGACGGGGATGAGTTGGGCTGGTAGTCAAATTTGCCGAGCGCTGTGGGATAGTAGGTGGTGGTGTAGACGTTCGTCTGCTGGAGCGGTGTTGGGTAGAAATTGGATCTTTCGTCGGGCAGCAGGTTGTTTTTATTCAGTGTCTGAAATAACACAGAAGGGAAGAAAGTCACATTAAAATCATATGCACACTATGAAAAACAATATGCCAGCAGACAATATTTTATAAACATTAAACAGCCAAGTAAGCCATCCCCTTTATTTGCCATCTTCATGCTAAGCTAAGCCAACTGTCTTTTTCTTTAGCCTCATAATTATTATACCCACACGAGTGATCTTATCTTCTAACTTGGTGAGGAAGTGAATGTGAATAGATCCTCGAGTTGTTTGGCTGCCAAAGCAATAAAAATACTTCAGCATGTTTCCAATGCAAATGAGCTTGTCGAGTATATTTTCCAAAATAAATGTTATTTTACTGAAGTACACTTGACTCTCATGCAGCTCAATCTGCTTCGTTACAGAGACAGGCATCCACTTCTGGAAAAGCCCTCATACATGTAGATCTGGAAAATAATGCAACACTGGAATATATTTTCAGTCACTTTCAGACCAAGTTTTGAGGATTCAATTATAGATGGAATTCTTGAGACCGAGATTTGGTTTTCGGCGTGGACTGTTTTGTTTTGCATTCCTCTGAGGTGCAGACAATATAGAAGTTAATCTTCCCTGCAGGTAAATAAAATACCTCCAGTAGCTTTGAGGTTATTATGTGAGCGAAAGTGTATTCATAACCAAAGCAAACCAATTTAACAAATTTAATTTGGATCTTGTCAAGCATACTCAATACTCTTAATATAGGAGATGGCGGGAATTCATTGGAGCTCTCAAATAAAAACAAGTCTAAAACCCACATTTTATTCGAATGCATTTGCTGAGTCTCTGGTAAAAGCCGACCATAAGGTGAAACACTTTCCAGGGGAAGCATTAGACTAATGTAATCCATCTGAACAGCTCTGGGGAGCAGGGCAGGAAGATAATCAGGTTAGAGTCAGTGAAATACACAACAGTGGGCAACACAAATTGGCCTGGAGGAGAGGGAAGCCACTGCATAAACAGTGCCGTAGTGCTACATGGTGACATCGGATGCACATCCAGCAGAGTCTGGCTATCCCCTCTGGTCATTAGAGCTAATGAGTTCGGGCTCTCAACACCACGATGGCTGTCAGCAACACATCCACACAACCGCCAACAATAACAGTGAAGACAACAAGTATCGAGAGGCGGACACGATCAAAAAACACTGGGATGAGAAATAGTTATTTGGCACCACGTTTGTTGATGATGAATGATGAATCTGCGCTTGGAAACACTGGCTGGCAAAAAAATACGTTTTGTACAGACTTAAAATAGCCTATAATACTTCTATTTTAATATTACAGGCTTTTACTAAGAAGATAGTGAGCAAAGTGACAATCTTTACATATGCCATGATGCTTGTGAGGTGGACAGCCTAACCAAATTGTGGTCTGATGTGCACAGTAACCTCTAGAAACAGACAACATACTGTACGAATATATAGAATCAGTTGCAAAAGGAATTTTGTGTGTTATTTGCAGTCAGTTTGCAGTCTGGCAGGTAAACAGTCTGTGTGGAAAGGAGAAATAAAAGTGCTCTATTTGTCCAAATGTAACCCTGAAACACGAATTTAGCTTCTTCTTTTTTTTAAATTAGTTTTTAACATGCATCTTTAAGCAAAGACCAGCACATTCACAGCTAAAACGACGTTTTTTCTTAGCGCTGTTGCCAAGTGCTTCGTCATAGGGGTCGTCTGATTGTTGGGGTCTTAACCTTACAATGTAAAGCGCTGAGGCAACTGTCGTTAAACTGATGCTATATAATTAAAGTTGAGTTGAAATGAAATGTTCTTAAAAAAGATATTTAGTGACAAACACCAACAGACTGCAAACACGAGGTTAATGTTGAAGTCGAAAAGCATGGCCCAGTTTGAACCTCATCCCAAAGGCCTTAAACTCAAAACTCTCACAGACTTAATTGACATCATCTGGTGAGTAAAAAAAAATAGTAAAATGTGAATGGCCCAGTCCTTTGTGAGAGATATCATGACGTAACATAGATTTTCTCCTATGTGGGGGATTTTTTTTTATGGCTGAATCACTCGGGACCAAATCCCTTCCAGCCTCTTTCCTTAAGGTGTCTACACTGCAAGATTTTAACAAGCTTATAAGTTCATTACAGTCCACACTGTGTGGATCTAATCAACCTGGCTAGGACATCAAGTTTGATGCATGGAGACAGTATGATGAAAATACCTACTGAGGCGGTGCCAAGATGCATGGCTGTTACTCCTCCGTTATTTGTCTCCATGCTACGTCCCCCTTGGCGCAGTCATGATAACAGCTGAAGGACACATCACACAAACAAGCTTCTGCTGCCACAAGTCAACTGGATTTTATTCTTTGTTTGAATTACAAACATTTTATTTGGAACATTTTACTTCCATTACTCCATTTGCATTTTTTTTCCACTAAAGGGCCAGCGTCAAAATGATTAGCGCGACATCGCCATGCTGCATTCCTGTTTGTAGGGTAGTAGTCCACATATCTCACTTATCTTAACTGCACTACTGTATAGCTCTGTGTAAATAATCATTCTGTACATACGATAATTTTTAATCCTACAACTGTTTATAACTTGCATAGTTCACATTTCTGTATAACTGTATATCTCAGATTTCTGTATAGTTTTTTTATTTCATATTTATATCCTGTTCATAGCCTGTACATACTTATAGTTATAGAATATTCATAACATACTTCATACCGTGTACATTGTAACATACCATAATAGACCCATTTCTGTAATACATTTACATATCTACATTATTGCTAATATATATTGTAATATATCTATATCACTAAAGCACTTCTGGATGGATGCAAACTGCATTTCGTTGCCCTGTACCTGTGCATGTGCAATGACAATAAAGTTGAATTCTATTCTATTCTAGTTGTAAGTTTGTCCGTGACAGCCCAAAACTGCATATTATACAGCCGCCTTCACAAGAAGGAGGAGGTGCAGATGCAATTGTTAAATGATCATTGTAGTATTTTTTTTTTAAATATAAATGAATCCTCTATGGTCATTCAGAGAGGCAGGAGGGAAGGACACCTAACCAGAATGTTTATGACAGATACAATTTCTGATTTTGGAGTGAAAAATCAAACCTCCTAGTTTTCCTCAAGAAGAGTTTAAGATCATTTTTTCAGCTGTTTCTCAAAAGCATCTTTCAGAAACAGGAACAAGAAATGCAATAACAATATCCCAACTCAATCAGAGAGTAAAACAATTGAGGGACGCAAAATGTCACTAAAAGTCTACAGGCTTCTAAGGAAAGCAGCTTCTTGACTTGCTGTAAATGTGAATGCACAGTAGACCGATAGCAGTGGGAGGTCGCAGGCTGACTAATGTTTTAGAAAGCTAATGAGCCCCATTCATAAGGGCTTGGTGCAGGTAGTAAAGCCATACAGACTCTGTATAGGAGCGAGAAGGAAGAGAAATTAACAGTAATTCATCTTCTGCGCATACTGCACCATTGAGATAAATGAATGAATAAAAGCTCTAAATAAAACATGAATCACACCCACTGCCTTTGAATCCTTAATATTTACATTGTGTGCGTGTTTGTGTATTTGAATAACACCAAGTAAACAGCACTTTCATTTGTATTTCTGCATAATATTGTGTGCTTCACTTACCTTAAACTCCATTGGTGTGTACTTCTCATTCTTTGGCGTGGTATTGCCCTTGTAGTTGAGGTGGTTTGGGGTGGTGGGATGAATGATGGCGGACTCTTGAGAAGGCTTGTGGAAACGTTGACAGTACACATAGATCAGGAAAGATAGCAGCCCCGCCCCAAGGAAACAGGAAACACCAGTGGCAATTAGGTGGATGGAGGTAAATGCTGCAAAATAAAGATGACACACGGTGTTAGCAAAGCTTGAGTATATATTATTAGCTTGAAAAAGGACATTTTTCAACACCCATATTTACCATGTGTAATCCATTAAATTAACCCGTAAACTCTAAAATACCATGAAATAATTGCTCAGAAATTCACATTTTTTCAAACTAGAGTGTTCATTTACCTTGTTAAAAACTTCCCAAACTCATAAAACCATGCTTGGCTGCCATGGAAGGATCATCAGCTAATCCAGATAACCTGTGTCGTGCAGGCCATAAAAGCTGGCCCAGGCAAACTGCTCAGGTGCTCTCTTGCACTCCACCTGACTTTAACCTACTGGTGATCTGTTTCTTGGTTAGGTTATGTTTAATATATATTTTTTAAATATTTAAGTAAACCTCTTGTGTGAAGGTGTGTGTCACCTACTTTGAACCAGTTTGTGGCAAATGGGGGCTCGTCCGGGATCTTTAGACCCATTGGTAAGATTGAACTTTGAGTCAGTGCTGACTTACTAACTTAGCTTTAGGTTTGCTAAATGCTTATGCAAGTTGAACTAAGTTCTGAGTACAGCTTAAAGTAGTAATGGTATTTAGCATTGTGAGGAGTATCTTAGGGAGTTCCACACAAGATAGAATTCTTTGGATTGGTTACAATAATTTAGGTATTCTGTGGTTGATGTTGGAAGAGAGTAGCAATAGCATAGTGCTTGGGTGTTAAACCCATGAATTTACAGTTTCATTGTGCTTTTGGTGAGTATAGCCACATGAGTCTCTGAGCCATGCATCTCCTTTTGTCTCAATAGGAGACCAACCATGCTTTCTCTTTAGTGTGACAGAAAAGTTTGTTGAAGACAATGTCTTGGGAGCATTTTCCTGGTTTCCAGAAACTTGCTAGTTTGCTCTTTGGCACCGTTGTTTTTGGTGCATATGTATCTGTCTGAAGACTAAGGTTAAGATCAACTTGTATTAAAAAAAACTAGGACTAGGGAGCATAAACTCTGTGTCTAGTTCTTCACCAACATATTTGTCGTGTTGATTTGTGGCCTTACTGGACACATGGCTGGACCAGCCTTCTGGTGTAACTAACTGACAAAGTGTAACTGGTAAAATGTGTGAAGGGTAAGAGTTCCAAAGTTGAACTTGAATAGTGCTGTGAAATATTTAAACTTGGTAGTTTGGTCTGGTAGCGTTGTTGTAGACCCATTATTTGCTTTGCTTTGAGCTTTGTTGTAGCTTTGTTCCCCCTTTGTTGCCGTCTTGGCCATTTTGGTTAGTATTGACGTTTTTGCTTGGAGGAACCTTTTGGTGTGCTACTGTGGTTGACGCTCGTACTTTAAATCCAGTATTGTGTGGGGGTGTATAGCTGCAGACTATATGGGAGCACTTGTGATGAGATCTGGTGCTCATTTAGGTACCAATGAGTAGACTTTCACTTGCTGTTAGGTTAATTGTTTCTTTTTCGTGTTGAACCTATTTGCAAAGATTTGCTTTCTGGGGCAGATACTGCTTTCCCCTTTCTGTAAACCAGTTACACTATTAGAAATCTCCTGTAATTAGAACCCATTTTGCCTCGTATTCCTATAACCGCCAACATTCACTTTTACTTCCCACCACTTAATTTGTTCCTGTGGTAGGAAAATTGGATTTAGTAAGGGGGTGGATGTCAGCTCATTTGTGGGCCAGGTTGTGTGGTAGCTATTTTAATGTTGCCTTCTGGTGTTGCTTTTTTGTTTTCTCGTTTCAGAATAATAACGCGGACTCGTGATTTTTAAGGAGGGTGATGTTAAGCCCCTCCCACACTTATTAAAGCCACGGTCTGCTGTTTTGCTGGCGTGGGAGGATCGTCAGGTAACATAGGCCACCTGGGTCTTGCAGGATATAAAAGTTGGCCCAGGTGAACGAGTTAGTTGTGCAGGGAAATACTCAGACCATCCATCAGCAACCAAATCACTTAAATCACTGTTTTCCCAAATACTTCACAAGGTCATCTTTACTATGTCTTCATGCCTAAATGCACTGAGCTCCTGCCATGTGGTTGGTTGATTAGATATTTAAGTTAATGACCAGTTGAGGTGTACCCACTAAAGTTGCTCATAAGAATATAAAGCAAGACTGAAATACGACTGTCCAGAGTTCTTTTCCTGATGTATTTTGTTTATCAGTGCAGTTAAAACATCTGTAGGACTTTTCTATCAGTAGGTATGAGGTCATTAAAAACATGAAACAAAAGAGTTGTCCTTCCTCCTCCTGACGGGCTGTTAGGAATTTTAACTGACTATAATAACACATATGAAATGAACATATAAATACATACAAATATAATGTATGAAAACACACATCATGGACAGACATCTGTGGAAACATACAGGGGGAAAGAAAAACCCTGAACATGCTCAGGGAGATGAAGCGGAGGCAGCTGTTAATCCACTTACCTCCACAGTGTTGGTCCTTATCAAAACCAGATGCAGGGAGAATGACTGCAGAGAGGAGAGGAACACACAGTCAGACACACACATGCATGCACACACACACACACACACACACACACGCATTCCCTGGTGTAACAGCCTTCAGAACACAACAACAACTGGTTGCAACATCAGGGGAGTTGACACATGCTGAAAAAAAATGGTAAATGAAAAATTTTAATGTCTCCTCAATGATGCACAAACGGTCCATGGAGATTTTTTTTGCTTTTAAAAATCAGGGTATTTCAAGAATTTCTAGAGGAAAATTGACTGTTGAGCGAGAACTGAACCTGTCTAGCTGCTGTGATAGAAACTAAGAGGCAGGACAAACATTTACAGGTACAACACGACCTTTCTACCAGCTCCACTCATTCAGATTCTTCAGAAAAAGAGGAGGAGCAGGAAGGCCTGTGGCTTTCAGTTGTTAAATATTGCAGTTCCTCATTGGACTGAATTTCTTTTAAATTTTCCAACTTCTTCACAGCTGCCTTCCTTATGCAAGTGACCTTAACAAATCCATCCTTCGCCTCATTGAAATCTGCAATAAAATTAGATGTGATTTGCTGTTGTGACAACCCATTAATATTAATCGCCTTCGTCTGGACTCATTAGGGATTCTTAGCCTGGAGAGGCCTATGCTGGCAGGCCATGAAAGATCATTTCAGGAGAAACTTTCTGAAATCGGCATCAGCAAAACGAGGTGCGCCGAGGCCAGTTGGGTCAGCTGCTAACTTATTGCATTCACATGGACTTAATTATGGTTAATCAACATGAGCAAATGAGTTTTGTGCACAAAGAGGATGTCGACTACAAAGACACAAACAATATGTGCTTTTATGGATATCCGATTTAGGATGAAGACTGTGATGCTGATTCTGCGTACGTACAACCTGGACAAACAAACAAGTTATGGCTTTTGGAGCGAGCTGCCAGTGAAGATTTGGCAAATCAAAAATCTTGGCAAAGTAAAATCCTGAAGTTGTGCCTTATATTAAGCTTGATGTCGAAGCAATAACATGATGATGATACTGAAGGTTGTTAGCCCTGGTTTTGGTTTGTGTAGTGGAGCATTGTTAGATAATAAACTGATCAGTTGCCGGGCAGAGTGCCAATATTATCATTTATCTAAAAGGGGGACATGGTATGCTTTTTCTTATTTTATCTCATAAATGTGTATACTGTTGCTATAGTAGATCACCAAAGCACAGAGGCCTAGTATACATAGGAATTATCAGCATGACTGTAAACCATGCAAAGGTATTCTAATAACAGTCCAAGAATAAAAGTATGTAGTTGGAAATGAGCATAACAATTTTGAGACTTTCAGTCATGTCTAAGCAAAAGCTTTTGGCTGTAACACAGTTAGCATGCAAACACTACACATCTTGGAGAGGTAACTCATTTTATCAACAGAAGAAAGCATGTCAGATGAATAACAGCAGCGCACTTAACAAAACCCCGAAAATAACATCAAAGCAGTGGAGAAACTTTAGAGATAAAGTCAAACGCAAAACAGGATGGAGAGCGATATCTGTGAGAGGAGCCTTCCTTCTGCTCGAGAGACACTGGCTGTGTCCCAATTCAGGGTCTGCACGCTTGAAGTACGCATTTTAAGTGTGATTACGTCACCGCCACGCGACGACAACTGTCCCAATTCGAAGTGTACTCCAAATGCGCCGT